GTCCTGGATCTCGCTCTGTAGACCAGGCTGGCCTCGAACTCACAGAGATCCGCCTGGCTCTGCCTCCCGAGTGCTGGGATTAAAGGCGTGTGCCACCGCCACTTGGCTGCATTCTCTTTTTGAAGCAGGACTATGCCTGCCGTTGAGTACTCTGCTTTTAATCTAGTTGTTTGTGGGATGCTAGTGCTTCATAGAAGAGAATGGGTTTTCAAAGTGTGCCAACTTGGAGCTAGCAAGATGGTACTATGAGGTCTGATAATGAGTTCAGTCCCCAGGACCCATGTGATGAAAGGGAACTGACTCCCCAGATTGTCCTGTGACCTCCACTGTGCCCACATATATACATACAAATGTTAAAAAATTAAATTAGAAAAATTTACTGGGAGCAGGGGGTGGTGGCCCATTCCTTTAATCCCAGCATTCAGGAGGCAGAGGCAGGTGGATCACTGTGAGTTTGAGGCCAGCCTGGTCTACAAAGCGAGTTCCAGGACAGCCAGAGCCATTACACAGTGAAACCCTGTCTCAAAAAACTAAAACATAAATAAGTAAATAAATAAATAAATGAAAAATTTTTTTTTAACTGGGGCTAGAGAGATGACTCAGCATTTAAGAGCACTTATTACTTTTGCAGAGAACCCGGGTTTAATTTCCAGCCCCCACATGGTGGCTTACAATCATCTGTTACTCCAGTTCCAAGGGTTTCAACCCCCTCCTGACCTCTGAGGGCACCAGGCACATACATAGTACATACATAAACGCAGACAGAACTTTCCTACACATAAAGTAAATCTAAATTTTCTGTTTTAATTTACCAGTTCCATGGGGCAAGTGAGCACCTGTAGTTTATTATTAGACATGTTAAAGGCCAGAAGCTACCAATTTAATATACATCCTGTTATGGTTTGGATAGGAAATGTCACCCACCAAAAGGCACATATGGTAATGGTTTGGTCCCCAGCTGATGGCATTATTGAGAGTGAGTTCCAGCTTCATCAATATTCTATTGATGAATACGTAGCTAAATAGACTATGATTTGGGCTTGGTTGGAGGAAGCCAGGCAACCATAGACTGAAATCTCTGAAACTGTGAGCCAAAATAAATCCTATTTTAAGAAGCCACGGGGATAGGAACCAAGGAGTCATTAATGCAGTATAGTCTATATTATAATTGCACAGTTCATTCATACAACCCAGCTATATACATGGTGCTAAGAATAATATGATGACATAGGCAGAGATCCTAGAAGAGTCCAGACAGATAAATGCTCAGTTGCAGTCCAGCAGGTTGGCACTGGGAGCTTTGGGAAGAGAAAGGAGGGGCCCTAAGGCAAACCAGGCAATTATGAAGGCAAGACTGGAAGTAAACCTGGTGCATTATAAAGGAATCCATGCATATGCACATGTACACACACTGACTACAATCATTTGAACACTGTGGGTCCCAACCATGCATTTACAGTTCTCACTTAATTTGGATTTCTATTTTAACCACTATTGATGGTTATTGTTTTTACTTCAAATAACCTATTTAAATATTTTTTGTCTGTTTTGTTGTTGTTGTTGTTTTGAGACAGTCTCTTCTGTGTAGCCCTGTCTATTCTGGAACTCACTTTGTAGACCAGGCTGGCCTCAGACTCACAGCGGTCCCCTTGCCTCTGCCTCCAAAGTGCTGGGATTAAAGGTATGTGCCACCATGCCTATTTTTAATTTTTATTATTTATTGACTTACTTATGAGACAGGGTCTTATGTAACCCATGTTAGTTTTGAGCTAATTAAGTAGCTAAGGAGGACCTTGCATTTATGATCTCCTGCCTCAGCCTTCTGGGTACTTGCAAGTACAAACAAGGCCAGCCATATTCAGCTTTGTGTTATGTTTATTGATTTGCATCATAACAACATATATTTTATATGAACACACATTTGGCAGGTAAAGATGTTTGCTGCTAAGCCAGATGACGTGAGTTCAGTTCTGGAACCCACATGATGGAAGGAGAGAATTGACTCCCAGTCACCCTGTGACCTTTAACCCTAGCACTTGGGAGGCAGAGGCAAGTGGATCTCTAAGAATTGAGGTCAGCCTGTTCTACATAGCAAGTTCTGAGACAGCCAGGGTTACTTGGTGAGGAAACCCCCACCCCCCAAAAAAAACCAAAAAACAGAAAGACAGGCATTAAACAAATGAGTTGTTTATGGGCGAAGAGGGGATGAGACTGGGGAGTAATAAAAGGATGAATAGGCTGGATGGTGGTGGCACATGCCTTTAAATCCCAGCACTTGGGAGGCAGAGCCAGGCGGATCTCTGTGAGTTCGAGGCCAACCTGGGCTACAGAGTGAGTTCCAGCAAAGGCTCCAAAGCTACACAGAGAAACCCTGTCTCCAAAAAAAAAAAAAAATAAATAAAAAGGATGAATACATACAAGGAAAGGCTTGGATTGGTCAGTCACTATTGTACTGGGGACTGAGGAATGTTATGTACTCAGTTCTGCACTTGAGAGGGTAAGTGAGGGCTGAAAGAATAAACAATTGCAAGCAATGTACAAGGTGCTGTGCATTACTTCCTGGCTGGGCGGCCTCCCAGGAGGCCTTTCTTCTAATTCAAGGCCTGGCTGTTCAGATGAAGAAATGTAACCTAGAGTAATACAGGTAGGCAGGGACTCCCACAGCTTTCACAACGTCACTGTCCCTGCAACCCCCGCCCCACTGTCCCCCCTTTTCTGTCTCATTCAGTCACCTCTGCACTGATGCATCAGACTAGGCAATACCGAGTTTTTCTCTAGAGCTGGACTGGGGGAACCGGGACTGTTAACTATTTATTAGAGGGCAAGGAAGACCCCAAAGTCACACTCATTCCCAGCTGTGCTCTTCACAGCCCCATGGCTGGCCTCATGGCTCATTCTTGCTTAGGGCTTCTCCACTGCATCCTTAGGAAGCACCTTGGTTCCTTCTGGTGTCTTTGTTTGTTTGTTTGTTTGTTTGTTTTTGTTTTTGTTTTTTGAGACAGGGTTTCTCTGTGTAGCTTTGTGCCTTTCCTGGAACTCACTTGGTAGTCCAGGCTGGCCTCGAACTCACAGAGATCTGCCTGGCTCTGCCTCCCGAGTGCTGGGATTAAAGGCGTGCGCCACCACCATCCGGTCCTCCTTCTGGTGTCTTATACTGATTTTCTTTTCCCATTTGCCCTTTTAGTTTGATATTGCCTTCTATCTTCTAGTAATTAAATGTTTCTGGTTTATCAATAACTTTTTGTCTTAAAAAATTGTTTTGGCTGGGCAGTAGTGGCACATGACTTTATACCCAGCATTTGGGAGGCAGAGGCAGGCAGATCTCTGAGTTCTAGGCCAGTGTGGTCTACAGATCGAGTTCCAGGATAGCCAGGGCTACACAGAGAAATCCTGTCTCAAAAACAAAACAAAACAAAACAAAAAAAAGCTTTTCGTTGGCACACTTTTCTTTCCTACCCACAAGTTTTCAAATAATTGACACGGAGACTTAATATTATTTACAAATGCTCAACCAATAGCTCAGATTTATTACTAACTCTTAAATTTTAAATTAATCCATATTTCTTATCTAAACTTTGCCACATAGCTTTGTATCTTTTATCTTTTCCCAAGTGTTTTCCTAGTCTGGCTCTCCCGCCCAATCTCTTCCTGCCCAGCTATTGGCCAGTCAGCTTCTTTATGAAACTAATTACAGTGACATATATTCACACAGTGTAAAGGAGCATTCCACAACTTTTGCTATTTTAATGGAGACAGTAAGTGTACATGTTGCCATCTAGATCCAGGGACCTTTAAACTAGGCTTTTGTATACTTGGTTTATTCTCTTTGCTTTTCAGAAAAGGTCTCACCCAGTGGTTAAGGCTGGCCTCCCCAGGTCCCCCAGTGCTGCTGTTATAGATTGCAGACAGAGGCTACCACACCTGGGTGAACTGGGTCCTGAGGGAAGAGTGCATTTGTCAGGGAGTATGTATTATAGAGTGGGATTTTTGGTTAGAGGGGAAAAATCACAAGTGTCAGGAAATAGAGGCCAAGGGGGCAGCCTGCTCAAAGGCACAGAACAACAGTAGACCCTAAAGTATGGCAGAAGTCAGGCTGAGAATTGTGTGATGTTCTTCCCTCATCTCAGTGTTCACTCAGCCTGTCAGAACCATCAGATACAGAGACATCCATTGCTTCAGCTCTTAGAACCAGATATGAACATCTTCTGGAGCATGTGACTTGCTGTGGACATCGCTCTGTATGCCATGAATGTGTTGCTCTGATTGGTTAATAAATAAGTGCTGATTGACCAGTAGCCAGGCAGGAAGTATAGGCAGGACAAGCAGAGAAAAGAATTGTGGGAAGAGGAAGGCTGAGTCAGGAGTCGCCAACCTGTCACAGAGGAAGCAAGATATAAAGATACTGGTAAGCCATGAGCCACGTGGCAAGGTATAGATTTATAAAATGGGTTCATTTACGATGTAAGATCTAGCTAGCAAGAAGCCTGAGCCATTAGGCCATACAGTTTTAATTAATATAAGCATCTGTGTGTTTATTTGGGTCTGAGTGGCTATGGGCCTGGAGAAAACTCCAGCTACAGTGACTTGTCTCTTTTAGATGTCTGTTGTGCTAGATATTGCCAGTACTTACTGCAGCTGTGGCAGGACCCAGTCGGCCTGAAGGCACGGCAGCAGAGGACCCAGACCAATGGTGTAATAACAGCACAGTTGCTGGGAATGCTCTTCCAAACCCTCTGTTTTGAAAAGACAGGGCGGGTCCCAGCCCTATGCAGCCAAGGCAAGGAGCCTCATGAGAGGAGGAAGATGCTTCTTGGGACACTGAATCACACTGAAGTTCAGTGGTAGCCAGTCCGGGAACCTATGGGAGAGCAGGGCCAGAGTTCTATGAGAGAGTCTTGGGTAGGAGAGATTTATGGTAATTGGACAAACTCAGTGTATCTCTAGACAGCATTGTTTGAATGTCCCTTAAGGACCACTAGCCCCCTCCTTCCTCCTTCTCCTTTCCTGCCTCCCTCCTTTTCTTCCCTCCTTCCATTCTCCCTTTTAAAAATTTTGCCTTGAGCCGGGCAGTGGTGGCACACACCTTTAATCCCAGCACTCAGGAGGCAGAGGCAGGTGGATCTGGGTGACTTCAAGGCCAGCCTGGTCTACAGAGCGAGATCCAGGACAGGCACCAGAACTACACAGAGAAACCCAGTCTCGAAGAAGAAAAAAAAAGTTTGCCTTGAATGTAAAATGAAAGGACATGCTTCTTTAAATTTAAACTTAATTTATACCTTTATACATCATAGGTCAAGCTTTAAATTGAAGGAGTTTTCTTCTCCCAATAGTTGGAACTTGTGAGGGTTTTAGCTGCTTGAGAAAGCTATCAAAGATATGAGAATCCAAATAGTAGATGTGACCATTGGGCATACTTAGGTAACCAAGATTGCCTTTGAAATCCCACTCACCAGTTTCAAAAGAAAAGGTTTTACTGAAGTTCATCTTTCCCAATGTCTGTTTTTCTTAAAAACTTATCAAAGAGGGATGGTGATTTGGCTCACTGGGTAACAGTGTTTGAAACCGACTCTACAAGGTTGTCCACATGCATATGGCAGGTACCCATGACACGCACAAAGTAAACAAGTGTATGTAAAAAGACAAACAAAAAACAAAACATCTCAGAAACTGAGTTTTTATATCTTTAACAAGAGAATTTATTTTTAAAATTTCTCTTACTGGTATGTTGTTGCTTTTCTATTGCTGTGATAAAATACCATGGCCAACGTGTCATAAAACTAAGAGCTTCTTTGGCCTACAGAGGGTTCGAGTCTATGATGGCAGAGCAAAGGAATGGCTAACAGCAGCTAGAGAAGCTGGTGAAAGTGCACATCTGGATCCACAGGCAGAGTGCGCTAACTGGGAATGATGAGAGCCTTTTGAAACCTCAAAGCCTGCCCCAGTGATACACCTCCTCCAGCAGAGCCACGCATCCCTAACCCAACTGGGGACCAAGTATTCAAATATATGAGCTGATGGGGGCCATTCTCACTCAAACTACCACGAATGTATTGCATTCTTTCTGTCTGTCTGTCCCTCTCTCCCAGCCCCTCTTCCCTCTTTCAGCTGAGGGCTAGGATTATAGGTACAATCCCCCATGCCAGGCTCCATCTGTAAAGAAGATTTCCCCAGATGAATTCTTCATATAACATTGATTTACATAAACCTTCCATGAATATATTCTCTGTGGAATACAATGTAAATGTGTAATAATATTCCATTAGGGCTTATCAAGAATAAGGCATGAGCTTTTTTGCATATCTGAATTTCAAAAACTGGTTTGCCACCCACAAGATATCTCTCACTCCATCTTGGTTAGATGAGTTGGTGGAAAGGCATGTGAGCTGGCTCAACACAATGATGTGTCCAGAACGCAGTGAAAACCATGGCGCTTCAAGATCAAAGTGTTTCTCTAAGCCATTGCTGTGAGTCATTTGTATACACTTTTGTGTTATTAAATGATATATGCCAGGCAGGGTTCTAAGGAATTTAAACATTAGCTCATTTAGTTCTAATGGCAAAATGGTTCATGTTTACAGTTGAGGAAACCAAGTATCAAATGGTTAAAAGACTGACCTCACAATCTCAATTAAGTTACAGGAAAGAACAAACATAACTTTTGTTTACTTGTTCGAGACAGGGTCTCTCTGGGTAATCCTGGCTGTCCTGGAACTCTCGGTGTAGACTAAGCCAACCTACTCTGCCTCCCGAGTGCTGGGATTAAAGACTTGTGCCTCAGATGTGACATTTTATGTAAACTGGGGATGGTGGCTCACCCGTAATTCAACCACTTGGGAGGCTGAGGCTGAGGCGAGTTCTAGTTCGGCGCGAGACCCTTCCTCAAACATGACGATAAAAACCACCGCCATTTCCTGTATGTGCAAAGACAGCACAGCATAAAAATAGGAAAACCGATTAAGGTGAGGTATGGTGGTTAACTTCCCGTGATCATGGCTAGGACCTTTTTAATAACAGTTGAAAAGTCTTGTCTGTGGCAGACACAGACACAGGAGGATTGAGTTTTGAAGAACCAGGTTTGGTTCACAGTTGGGCCTTCCCACGGGGGGTTTTAAGTCACTGGTTATCTCTGCTCCTCGATTACTCATCTGAGCAATGGGGTTTAGCAGTCTGCCTTGCCACTCTCCCCTTTCCTTCCTTGACAAAAGTCTCATTGTGTTCTTCAGCCCGGCCTTAAACTTCCTGTGTAGCCCAAGCTGTTCTTGAACTTGTGATCCTCTTCTCTCAACCTCGTGAGCATCATTGGGAGTACAGGTGTGGATCGCCATGTCCAGTTAAGCTAGTGTTTTGTAAGAAACATTTTTATTGTCTGTCTGTGGGTTAGCTGGTGGTTCTGCTAGCACATTTGGTCTTGCTAAGACTCACCCATGTGTCTGGGGTTCTGCTTGGCTGGTTTGTCTGTGTAAGAGCCTGAGCAGGTATAACTGGGCTCTGGCTCTGCTGAACTCTCTCACTCTCTGGCAGACTAGATTGGGCTTGTTCTTTTTTTTTCCCTTTTTTTTCCCCGAGACAGGGTTTCTCTGTGTAGCTTTGCGCCTTTTCCTGGATCTTGCTCCGTGGACCAGGCTGGCCTCGAACTCACAAAGATCCACCTGCCTCTGCCTCCCGAGTGCTGGGATTAAAGGCATGCGCCGCCACCACCGCCCAGCTGGGCTTGTTCTTACGGCAGCAGCAGGGTACTCTTATCACTTGGGAGGCATAGGCAGGGGGATCAGGAGTTTAGGACCAGCCTGGACTATATAACATAGCCTGTCACTGTGTAGTTCAGGATGATTTTGGACTCCCGGGCCTCTTGGCTGCACCTCCCAGGTGCTGGGATTGCAGCCACCACTCCCAGCTTTATTGGGGTCATTTTCAGGGTCACTGTAGCACAGAAGTCAAACTCCAGACTCAGAAGGGTGGTAGGAGGCCCCAGACATCTGAGTCCAAAGATCCAACAGTGCCTTGTGAGTGGTAAGCACCCCGCGGATGACAGTGCTGCTGCATGTGTGTCCTACTTCACATGTGGGGCTGGACATTCCAGTATTAGTGTTTGTGCCCCTCTAACAGAATGCCTGAGGCTGAGCTGTTTACAAAGAAGGAAAAGTTTATTCTTACAGTTTGGGAATGTGGGAAGTCTAGATCAAGGCATCTCTTGATCTGGCATTCAGGAGGGATTTGTTTTGTTCCATAGGGCGGCATTTGTTGCCGCCTCCTCAAATGGCGGAGGAGGCAAATGCTGTTTCCACATGGAAGAAGAGTGCCAGGGCAAAGGTGGCAGCTTTCTTTCTTCTGTGTGCCAGGGAGGCGCTCTATCAGAGTGAGACCACAGCCCTGGTACCTCTTTGTTTATTAGCTCATTTCCTTCTTTGTTTCCTAGTATTTCCTTTATAAGGTTATTAGTGTAGATGGGCCTGGACAGAGTGCACACTGCCTTTGGTCCCCAGTGCCCACGTTAGGTGGCTCACAACCTCCTGGAACTCTACCTCCAAGGGATCTTGCAACCTCTTTTGGCCTCTACAGGGACCCACACAGAAATAAATAAAAAGCATAAAAACAAATCTTTTAAAATATAAATAGGCAGCCGGGCGGTGGTGGTGGTGGCGGCGGCGGCGGCGGCGGCGGCGCACGCCTTTAATCCCAGCACTTGGGAGGCAGAGCCAGGCGGATCTCTGTGAGTTTGAGGCCTGCCTGGTCTACAGAGTGAGTTCCAGGACATCCAGGGCTACACAGAGAAACCCTGTCTTGAAAAAATATAAATATGCATGAGGACAGAGTCCTCATAACCTAGCACTTACCTGAAAAGCCCTACCTTCTAATATCTTGTTAATTAGGTTTCAACATACCAATTTTGGAGTAGCACACCTTAAAACCACGATCACAAGGATGACCCAAGTTGAGGCATTGGCAGGAGAATGCCTCAACTCTAGATAAAGAGCTACAGGCAACTGAGGAATGTTTACAATAGGAGAAATAGTCTTCCCCAGGGAACAGCATACCAAATGGTTAGCCCTGAAAACATATATAAAACATACATACATAAAACATAACATTATGTAGATGGAGCAGGTTGTATTTATGTATTTAGGGATATACACACACACACACACACACACACACACACACACACACGTATGTAACAACAATTAAAGAAAAAAAATGGGCCATAAAATTGAAAGAGAGCAAGGGGGATATATGGGAGGGTTTGAAGGGAAGAAAGGAAAGAGGGAAATAATTATATATTATATTATATTATATAAACATACACACACACACACACACACACACACACACACACACACACATATATATATATATATATATATATATATATATATATATATATATATATATATATATATAAACAACACACCCACAGCTGTTCCTTGCAGCAAGACCTGCTGCTGTTTCTCCCTCTCTGTGTTTTCCTTTTGTAGCCTCTGGAAAAGCTCACAGAAATGAAGGAGACAAGAGCAGTTAAGAACTCCCCCAACTCCCAGGACAAAGACAGATTTCAAAACCCTCTGGAATATGCACATCTGGCCTCCCTTGGGGATGCTCCTATCCCTGGACAGCTGTGCCTCTCCCCACCTCCAAGGGGGTTTAGGAAGGTACTACCTGACTCCTCAGTTGACTTCTAAGAAACACCGGACTTGGCTCAAGGTCACCAGTTAATTAAGGAAGGACCCTGTTCTGAGGGGCCACCAGGATCCACTGTGCAGGTCAACTCTCCCTGCAAGGAAGTGGCTGCAGAGCTATGCTGTTCCACAATGGTTCTACATCGTGGGCTTCCACAATGGTGTGCTATTGCCAGACCCCACAGCTCACTTCCTGATAACAAGGTAGAGCCCTGGAACCTGCTCCCCAGTGAGCTTCACATGAACCTGCTCTTCCATTCCAGGCTTCATGCTCCAGCTTGCGTGGAGCAATCCTGTTCCACACTGCCATCTGAACATTGGAAGGATTGCATCACAATCCTGTTTAAAAGAGATAACATTTATCAGATCCTTATCATTGGTAAAATGCTGTTGCAATCTACTTCCTTGAACTAGCTTGTTTAATGTCGTAAAATACTGTGATTATCTATGAATCCCTATTTCACAGTTAAGAAAAAAGAGGCAGAAGAGATTGGTGTGACTTCAGTCATGGTAGGCAGTAGAATTAGTAGTAGTCTGGTTCCTGAGCTTGAGCCTCTCAGACCCGAAGATCCCTCTCTGTAGGCTTCTATATTTCTAATAGCAACAATACTAATGATGGCTAACATGCATGGCTGGTGAGTGTCTGCATGCTAGACTATCCTGGCTCTGCCACATCCACTAATTTCTCACACGGGTTCTAGAGTGTTGAGAGGCGTTATCTTCATTTTACAATTAAGGAAACTACGGTTCAGCATATCACACAAGGAGGGATAACCAGGCAGTCTAACTCCAGAGTGCTGCATGCTGAATTCCTGGCTTTCTAGCCCAAGACACAGAATCCAGGACTCTGGATTTATACAGCATGATCTCTTAATTGAGTGAGTTTTGTTTGGTTTGGTTTGGGGGCGGGGGTTGAAGACAGGGTCCTGCTGTATATCTCAAGCTGAACTTGAGTTTTGGGGTTCCAAAGCTGCATCACCATGTCCTGCTTTCCAAGGCTGTTTACCAGGTCTGTTAATTTGCTTCGGGTTGCCTGTCTCACAGAAACAGACTCATTTAGTAGCTGGGGTCAGTGGAGACTGAAGCGCAGAATCTGAGAAAGTGAAGTGCAGCAGAAGGGGTTCCTCCTCACAGGCCACCCACCAGATCCTCCACAGGAGACTTAATCAGCCCAGAGCTTTCTATTTAGGACTCCAAATCTGCTCTTACCCCACCCCCATCCTTTTGTAAAGTAAATCCAATTTAGTATGTCCCCAGGGAGTTTACTGGTAGAAAGGCCATCATTACAGCAAACACAAAGGAATGCTTTGTAAATGGAGTCCCCGAGGCAGCAGGACAACAAACTTGGCCACTCTGGGCCTCGGGAATGACCAGTCTCCCAATCCATATTCTTGTTGGAGTTGCAGGCATGCAACACCACACTCAGCTAAATTACTCTGAAAATAAGAAGTAAAGATTAATAATTTAGTTTCTCCTTAAAAAGAAAAGAAACAGGGGCTGAGGAGATGGCTCAGTTAAGAGCATTGACTACTCTTCCAGAGGACCCAGGTTCAGTTCCCAGCACCCACATAGTGGCCCACAGCTGTCTGTAATGCCAGTTCCAGGACACCCTCACCCAGACATAAATGCAGGCAAAACACCAATGCACATAAAAATTATATATATATATATATATATATATATATATATATATATATATATAATGAAAAGAAAAACACCAGCACTCAGGAGCGAGGCAGAGACAGGTGTAACTCTGTGAGTTTGAGGCCAGCCTGATCCACATAGTGAGTTTAAAAAAGAAAAGACCGAGGCTTAGCCTGTGACAGGGGACAGGGACTTTAATAAGAGAAACTCACAGGCTCCTAAGTCTTCTAAGGTAGGCATGATTACCACCCCTATCAGAGTCAGAGGTAAAGACACTCAGAGTTCTGGGATAGCCCTACCCCACAGTGCCTCGCTTCCAGAGGCAGCCGTGGCAGTACTGCTTAATGGTTAAAGTGCCACTTTGAGTAAGACTAGAGTCTGAATCTTCACTGTCACCAGTGTGACTCAAAAAAGTTACTTAACCCTTCTTGTCCTCAAGTCACCTCACTGGTAAAGTGAAAATAGAAAATGCCTTTCTCACAGGATTTCTAGGGGGACAAATGAGATGAATCACATAAAATTCTGTGAGAGCAATCTAGCCGGAATTAGAGTGTGTGTGGCCCTAATTTATTGCCCCCTCTCCGCCCCCGCCCTGTGATGAGCACTAGGTCCCCAGAGAGGGCTCCAGTTCAGATGAAGTTACTGTTGTTTCCTGGGTGTGAAATCCCTGAGGGCTTTGGTCTAGGAGAGGATAACCTATGGGGATCGTCTGTGTGAAGTGGATGAGGAAAAAGACGTGGGTAGGGCGCACAGGTCTGAGGGTTAGTAAAAGAGAGGCCTTCTAGTGGACCCCTCAGAACTTCCCGTGCCCAGGTGAGATGGACGTTCAGCTATGCACACCCCCGATGACGCTTGGCTCCCCAGGAAAGATGCTGCTGAGATGTTAGGCGGGTTAAGGTCCGCTGCACCGGGTCTACTCAGGCGAGCCTGTTCTAAGGGCTCTGGCTTGGTCGAGTTTTCCGGGAAGGAGTTGGAGCTGCGGGATGCGCAGGGTGGAGACGAGGGCAGAGGGGTCTGGTCCAGGAAACCCGGCAGCCCTGGTGTTGCCGAGGGCGCCCACGCGGAGCTCAACTGCTCCGCCTGCTTTAAAACGCCAGGACGCCGGGAACGAGCCCAGCAGGCGGCCAGGCTTGACCTTGACCGTTGGCGCTGCCAGCTTTGCTCTCGCTGCCCGGCAACGGCGCGCTCCGGCGGCTGCGCCCGCCCCTCCCTCGGGCGGAATCGCCGGCGATCCAGGCCGGGTTTTGCAGCGGAGCTGTTGGGTTGCGCGTGCTGATTTCTCTCCGGTAGCAGCCGGCTGCAAGAGACTATGGTGCTGCGCCAAGTGTGGACCGCGCTGTCCGGAGTCTCCGGGGTTGCCCTAGTTTGCTGCTTGTTGTCGGCGGCGGTGGTCCTGCGATGGACCGGGCGCCGGACGGCCCGGGGCGCGGCGGCCAGGGCGCGGCGGAGGCAGCGAGCCGGCCTGGAGACCATGGATAAGGCGGTGCAGCGCTTCCGGCTGCAGGTGACGGCGGGCGCCGGGGCTGGGGTGGGCGGGCGTGGGGAAGCACAGCGTGGGCAAGGCAGCACTTTCAGCCGCCTGGACGCCAGAAGGCCGACTGGCGGGCAGTGCAGATGAGAGCCTAGGAACAGAACCCCTCCTTGAGCTAACGCATTCCGTACTCTTTCCGCGCCAGGTGCAGCGCGAGGAGAAACGGAAAAGAAAGGGACAGGACAGGTCATGGAGTCTGGGCGCTGTACTTACTTTGCTCTGCGCCAGAGAATCTCACGCTAATTAACACGCAAAAAAAGAAAGAGAAAGAAAAAAAAAAAGCTAGCGTGAGAATCAATAGGGTAAACTAGGGTTTAGGTCTTTGGAATCATGGAGTGATGATGACCCAAGAGTCAATGGCCCAGATCACCGAGATAGCTTAAAGTTCATGTTGGTTAATTTGTGCATGAGGCTCTTAAGAGAGGGGTGGAAATAGACGCCTACTGCTGCCCGGTCTTTCTATTCAACACCTCACAAACCCTTTTATGAGCATCCTTCTAGCGGCTTCTCCTGCCTTGGACATTTCAGTGTGTATCAGTTTGGGGGTGTGAAAAGAGTTGGGGGAAGGTTAGAAAAGGTGTCTGCAAGAGGGTGCCCTTTTCTCCTGTTGTATGAACTCTGGCCCCAGTTAGAAGACCAAATGTTGAACTCTAGATGTGCCCGTGTGCTGAAGGACCAAAGAGTTGCTGTGGGTCTTTGTGGGATATGACAAATCGGAGAGATCCCAGGTGATGGGGACAGTAGGAGTCGGGAAGGTGTTTCTGGATCAGTATCAGTGAAAATTGCATTTTGCAGGTGCTCAGTTGCAGCGAGTGATTTTTTGAGCAAGAACTGCAACGAAGTCCTTTGGTGGAACTCTAGCTCACAGCAATGAAGAGAAATTGGGGCTGGGAGCTGGTTTTGGGCTACCCAGCTGTAACATGAATCTTAAAGGGTCTTATTAATAAAAACAAACCCGGGAGTCAGGTATTGGGGTGAATACTGAAAGATAGAGAAACAGAACAAGCCACATCCAACCTCACCTTGCCAATTCCTCAGCTGATCTTGTTTCCTCAGACTGAAGGTCTCTGAGTCCTCACCCAAATGGATCTCAGCTGAACTGCTGCTAAAAACCAAAAGCTTAACAAGGCTCTAGTTTCTGGTCCTCATGCCTTATATACCTTTCTGCTTCCTGCCATCACTTCCTGGGATTAAAGACATGTGTCTTTCCCAAGCAAGACATGAGATCTCAAGTGCTGGGATTAAAGGCATGTGTCACCATGCCTGGTTGTTTCCAGTGTGGCTTTGAACTCACAGAGATCCGGATGGATCTCTGCCTCCAGAAGGATAGGATTAAAGGTGTGTGTGCCACCATTTTCTGGCCTCTATGTCTATCTAGTGGCTGTTCTGTTCTCTGGCCCCAGATAAGTTTATTAGGGGGCACAATATATTGGGGGACACTCAGCTGTGGTCCTGAATGTGGGCAAAACTTTGGCTGGCTGTAATAGTTTGAATTTACTTCCCACCATCACTAGCCCCTGGGTATATCTTATGTATTTATTGAAATAAAAGTGTATCTGGTTCCAGCCTCCACTCCTCAAGCCGTCTGAAAAGCCTACCATCAGTGTTTAGAGCTGTCTCTTCCCAGGTTGGGAGGTTCTGATCCCACACTGGCCACTTCCTCTACCTGAGCACCGGTTCTTTGCCAGCTCCCCCTTTTTTCTCTGGTGGTGTCCTCAGTATACTCAGGATGATGATGATCCTGGGCTAGGCCTGGGGAGCTTTGGCTGCTCCTCTGTGTCTTTCTGTGCAGCCAGCTGAGTTCTGCCAGCTTCCAGCACAGCTTGGGGAGCAGGCACAGGAATCTGCCCACAGCTCCTGCCTACAAGAAGTACTCCTCTTAGCCATAAGGAATCCATTTGGCTGGGAGAGTTGGGGGCTGGGAAAAGGCTGGGTCTTCCTGTATGTCACCTCCTCCATTTCTTTCTTTCTCCCCCCCCCCCCCCCAAAGGGTTTCTCTGTAGTTTTTGAGTCTGCCCTGGAACTCGCTTTGTAGACCAGGCTGGCCTCGAACTCACAGAGATCCGCCTATCTCTGCCTCCCAAGTGCTGGGATTAAAGACATGTGCCACCACTGCCCAGCTCCTCCATTTCTTACAAAGTAATTGTCCTTCAGTCTTTTAAAGAACTGAAGAATTTTTTTTTTTTTTTTTTTTTTTTTTTTTTTTTTGCCAAAGAATGTTTTAGGGCAGAAATTTTGGCTCTAAAATACAAAATGATGTCTGCAAATCTTCCTGTAGCCAAGACCTAGCCTCAAACACCAAATTTAGCTTTTTCAGGAAGGGAAACTGGCTTTGGGGTTTCAGGCCTCTGTGCCTGTTTTGCTTGCTTGCTTCTTTTTAGACAAGGTCTCATGCTTCCCAGACTGGCTTTGAACTCCTGGTTCTCCTGCCTGAGACTCCCAAGGGCTGGCAAATACAGGGTATGCTACTGCTCTCTTTTCCCTCTGTGCTTTTTAGCAAACAGAAAAGATGTTCATATCATCGTTCACTCTCCCCACACCTCTCTTTCTGTCTCCCTGTCCTGGCTGAGTCAGAGACCAGCTAACTAATGGGTCTCCCTCCCATTTCAGCTTTTCAAATATCTGGGACTTCAGGTGTGGGCCACTATACTTACCTAAGGGTTCTTGGTGACAGTAGCTTTGGAGACGTCAGGGCATGGTTAGGAGGTAGGAGTTTGATGCAAAATCATCCCAGCCTTGGGATCAGCCTCTTTCCTTCTTTACCCCATAGAACCTTCCTACTGGGCCCTGGCTTTCTTGGAGAAATGAGAGGTGGCACCCGAGGCTGCCTCCAGTCTCTTCTAGTGCTTTCTGAGCCCATCCCTGAATAGGAGGGGGCACCTGGGAAGGTAGGATAGCAAGAGGCACTTGGGAAGACAGGATCAAGTGTAATGGGAGGGCCAAAGCAGTCCAGTCCCTCTGATGGATACTACACAAAGTTAACTTTGTGCCGAGGTAGGTACACACAAGCTAGATGGCAGGGAGGACATGAGCACCTCTGAGTCACCGAGGTTCACACAATGGCTCACTTTTCCATACTGTGGAGCAACTCTAGGGAGAGGTCTGTTTCTGGTTACTATTGATCAATGGAAGCTTACCAGCGACAGCCTTTCCCCTACTTCCCCCAGCTGCCCTCTGAGTGAGTTCTTAAGAAACATTTTAAAAAATGTTTTTATGTGTATGAATGTTTTGCCTTACATGTATGTTTGTGCACTGTGTACATGCCTGGTTCCTACAGAGATCAGAGAGGGCATCAGATCCCCTGAAAATGTAGTTACAGATGGTTGAGATACCGTGTGGGACACTGGGAACTGAACTCAGGTCCTCTGGAAGAGTAGACAGTGCTGTTAACTGCTGAGCCATCTCTCCAGCCACTCTCCCCATTGTTTATAAACTGCAGACAAGAACCAGCAGCACAGGACATGACTCCTGCCTTGGGGCCTTTGCACATGTACTTTGTTGTACTGTTTCATGCATTCTCTTGGTAAAAGCTCACTGATCCTACAAATGACTCTCCCTTCAACCAGACCCGCTGTGGCTTTGTCTCCTGGCCTTTTCCTAGCCTCCCTTACACTCTTCTTCGAAATGATCCCATTGATAACTTGAAAGCATGGTTATACCATTGAGAATATCTTGGCCATCTTTGTGAGCAAATGGAAGAGACAGTTTGAAATAGAACGAGAGAGATAAAAAAAAAAAAAACCCGGAGAGAAAAAGAGACAACCCAAGAGTCTGAAATTGGGACAATAGATGGCCCAGGAGAGAAAGAAACAGTTGGAAGAGGGCCAGTGCTTAAAAGAGGTACAGTAGCTCCCTCTTGAAAAATGTCTCCACACTGGATGCCATATAGTTATCTTGAGACTATCAGTTCCTGGCCCTCTGTTTCTCATGTAAAACCAAGCCTCCTAATATTCACAGACTGGCCTTTCTGGGGTGCAGACTTTGGTGATTTGGGAGAGGGAGGATGTCTCAACTGCCTGATGCTATCTGAAGACTTAAAAATAGCTGTTAGCAACTGTGTCATCATTAGCTGTCAACAGTGATGACATTAGAAAGAACTGAAATGTGCTTGAGAATGGGGATTGTCTGAGTCAAGGTTTCTATGGCTGTAAAGAGACACTATGGCCATGGCGACTCTTATAAAGGAAAACATTTAACTGGGGCTGGCTCATGGGTTCAGAGGTGTAGTCCACTATCGTCATGGTGGGAAACATGGCACGCGAAGATGTGGTCCTAGAGAAGGAGCAGAGAGTTCTACATCTGGATTGGCAGGCTTGAGCACCTGAAACCTCAAAGCCCACCCCCAGTGACACACTTCCTCCAACAAAGCCACACCTACCCTAACAAGGCCACACCATCTAATAGTGCCACTCCCAGGCAACCAGGCATTCAGATCTGTGGATCTGTGGGGGCCATTCCTATGCAGACCACCAGAAGGGTTGGTGGTAACTTCTAGATGACGTGTGCAGAGGTTTCACAGGAGGGAGGAGGTGGTGGCTAAGCTGCCAGAAGTGATTGTCTCAAACAAAACAATGAACACATACTGTATTCCAGGGTCTCATGTATTCCAGGCTGACTTTGAGCTCACTATATTTATTAAAGATGACCTTTAAACTTCTGATCCTTTGGCCTCCACCGTGCCTAGTTTTTTTTTTTTTTTTAGTGGGGAAGTGATTTGAGATAGGGTTTATGTGTGTAGCCTGGCTCTCATTGAACTTGTTTTGTAGGCCAGGCTGACCTCAAAATCAGAGATCCCTCTGCCTCCCAAGTGCTGGGATTAAAGGCGTGGGCTACCACGCCCGACTACCATGTCTGGTGTAGCTAGAGTTTTCCTGCCTTGCCCACAGTCAGGACAAATCTTTGTCACCCCCCAGTCCCAACCAAGTAAGCACAGAGACTTATATTGCATACAAACTGTATGGCCGTGGCAGGCT